CTGGTTCCTATAGCTGTAAACTGTCGTCCCTTCCCCCACCGGGCCTGCCTGTGCTCCCAGCTGGGTCAGCTTCTTTCCCGGGGTGCGAGATTCCACTGACCCTCCTCAGAGGGTGATTCATTAGACACAAACACGTGCTGCTTCACTCACCTTAAGAGGAGTCCATGCTTGCTCTCCGGCGCCTTTCTCCCCATGCTCTCCTCTGCCGGACCCTGGCCCACCACGCCGCCACGGCCACCAGTGGCCTCTCTGCTCTCCCAACCCCATGGTGGGCTTCCTGTGTCATTTCTCTGTCTATACTCGACCCTCGTGACCCATTCACCTTCATGTTCCTAAATACAAAATGCCAATCCCCTGTCCAAACTTCGTCCTCAATCTGACTCATATTTGGTCTCCTAACTGGTCCCGCTATAGCTATTCTCAACTCAACAGCCAGAGTGGTAGGTGGAGTCAGGTCATGTCATATGCTTTGTTGAAATCCTTTCCATGAATCCCACTCAGAAAATGCTGGAGGAAATCTGCCCCCACTACTCTCTCCCGCGTGCTCACTCTGCTCTAGCCGTCAGCCTCCTGCTCGTCCTCCAGGGCACCAGACACCCGTCCACCCAAGGCATCGGCAGACCCTTCCCACTGCCTGGAGGCCAGCCCAACCTCCCTCCCTCCCCTCCAGCAGCACAGGCTGCACATTTCAAGCACATATGCAAACAGAACTTCAGCGAAACCTAAACCTTGAACCCATCACCACATTCCTCTGTCCAGCACTCCTGCCCCTTTAAATGGCTTAACTGTTCTCCACAGCACTCATTTTACACACACACACACACACACACACACACACACACACACACCCGTCGGAAACGCCACAAGGGAAGGATTTGTGTTATTCACCACTGTGTCTCCAACAGACAGATCAGCACCTGGCATACAGCAGAAGCACCAGAAATACTTGCTGAGAAGCCCGAGGATCATGCCTAGTTCTGCTTTGTATGCCCTACAAGAACTTCTACACCGTTAAAAGTAAGCACAAGAACTCACATGGTTAAACTTAAAAATAAAGGTACTGAAAACAGCTCAAAATAAGAGTCACGTCGCTGCTTAAATGGGAAGGTTTATTAAGGTTTTTCCTCAAGAGGAACAGCCAAGCCTGTGCTTCTTAAGAGAAGCAATGAACAGGAAATGTAAGCCACACCTTGGGCCCAGAACCACAGAGGGCTTCTTAACCAGAGAACTGGCACCCCGGCCCAGCCCCCTTTTAAAGCTCTTGTTAATATCTGCAAAACAATCCATGCTGCCTTCCCAGAAAGCAGAACGAGGCACCCAGTTCAAAGTCTCCCGCTGTTCTCAACAAGAATATTTAAACAAGACGTGGCATTAAGTAGGTGGACTGCACATTCAACACATCCACAAGGAAATTGTAACAAGAAAAATCCATGCTCAATGCAATGCCTGTAGTACATTTTCAAGAGTAACTTGCATTTTTTACATTTTGGGGGAGTAGAAATGCTAGAAGCCGGGTGGTTAGACTGCCTCAAAGCTTACATTCATCTCCCTTCCCGCCAGATGGGCTCTTTCCAGGTCCTGGACAAGCACTCAAATCACTCTGCCCTTTTAAGCCTGGAGCTGGGCCCACAGGGACTATTTCAACATACATTTAAGTAGCACCCTAAGTACAAGGCCCAAATAAAACAAAAGGTCATTTAACAAGTTATCTTCCTTCAAATACCCGACCATTTCTTCAGTTTGGTTTTACCACACATACATTCTGCACCAGCATATCTTATGTCTCCTAAGATGCTATGATGGCTCACACAGAGAACACCAAGGGAATCCTTCTTTCTTCCTGTCCCTCAGTTCTGAAAACAAAACTCAGACACATGGACTGACCAATGTACCTATAAGAATGACGACGCAAAACTGTTGAAACTGGGCAGGTCCAGAAAATGAAGAATGTCCACGAATGGAGGAAAACAGCTTCATATCAAGTAACCTGTTTTAATCAAGTTGGTAATAAAATGAAGATCAGTATCTTCCCAAGGATTAACTTTTGCCAAGTACATTCTAACTTCAAAGCAGCAGGCAGTTTAACTGAGGAGGAAACAGTGCCAGTTGTGATGGCAGATCGAGGGGCCAAACAGAGAGGAGCTCAGAGTTGTAGGGGGAGAGAGGAATACAGCACATCCATGTTTCTCCAAACATTCCTGAGAGAACTAGCCCGTGGCCATGGTTCAATAAATGACAGTGCTATGCATATCTGATAAGTTGCTTGTATCTCTTCCCTGCCCACTCAGATGGCAAACTCTTGTGGGAAGGGCCTTTACGCCTCTTTGTGAGGCACACATTGTTTAAAGAACAAATGGCTTGAGTGCATATACTTTTAATTCAATGCTTATAGAAATGTTAGCTGATACTGAAGCTCCCCCTAGTGGAGCTTCATTATAGCTACATTATGCCTTTACTTAATTTCTAAAACTAGATTGTTTTGGGGGCACCACTACACCACTGACGTTGTGTGTTAGCAGAGAAAAAGCTATCAATGGTGACACTAAGTCTCCTTTAAATTATATGATACTGCCCTGGCCGGTCTTGCTCAGCGGTTAGAGTGTCAGCCTGCGGTCCAGAGAGACCCGGGTTCGGTTCCCGCTATGGGCACGTACCTCGGTTGCGGTTTGTCCCCGGCCCTGGTTAGGTCGTGTGGGTGGCAACCACTTGATGTGTCCCTTTCACTCACATCGATGTTTCTCTCTCTCTCCCTCCCATTCTATCTGAACAAAATATCAAAAAATGTCCTCGGTGAGGATGGAAAAAAAAATTTATATGATACTCCTATAACCAAATACAGTGATACCTCGGTTCTCGAACATAATTCGTTCCAGGAGGACGGTCGAGAACCAAATTGTTCGAGAACCGAAGCAATGAAACCAATAGGAAATAATGGAAACTGGATTAATTCGTTCCAAGCCCCAGAAAATGCCTATTTACTGGCCTAATTTGTATATAATATGTAGAAAAACATAAGTCTCAACAAGAAATAAAAGTGTACAGTATGTCTAAGGGTTAAATTCAGTGTAAAGCGTGACTCTCTCCACACAGCGTGACTCTCTCTCTGCACTCACACTGATGACGCGAGCAAGGCGCGCTGGGCCGAATGAACGCCATTCGGCTCAACTCGGCTCATCTCGGAAGTTCGAGTTCCAAATATTTGTTTGGATTCCAAGACAAAAGTTTCTCGAATCTCCTGGTCGAAAGTCAAGGCATTCGAGAACCGAGGTATCACTGTACCTTAACCTCAAATACTAATATGGAGTCAGTTCTTAGATATTTATCACATGAGATTCCTATAACATTAAGGACTGTTTGAGCTATAAAAATCCATTTTATTTTCAGGCACCATTCCCCACCACCGAACCAAGGCTGAGGAGTTTGCACAGGGACAATATAAAAGCACACCTGTCTCGCTTTCTAACATGATACCTTCCCATCCTGCTCAGCCACCGCAGATTGCTCGAGACAGCCTGTCTGACTTCAGCAGGCCACTCTGTGTGATTGCAGCACACGGGCATTTTTCTTCACAGTCCTACCTCTATCTCAAAACATGACAAAGGAACCCAGTGCCTGTCATCTTTCTCTACCATATTCTAAAATAGAGGACACCTAGTTCATTTTACTAATCAAACAGGCTGTAACTTGGGGTTATTCTTATTTAATGATTTATACTTAATCTGGCAAATAACTACATGGTCTATGTATTCAGAAATTTTTACTCATTTGTAAGATGTCTATGATTTTAAGTCCAAGGGAATATGTGAGAGGTGAGCTTTAGGCAAGAATGACTTTAAGGACCTTAAAATATGCCATCCTGACCTGGACAGACTGGCCCTAATGCTTCACTTATTTCTTTAATCTATTGCATTTATTAAATTTTTGGCCCCTCAATCACAGACATAAGTATAAGTGGATCAATAGGAGGTAAAGTATTAGGTAACTAAGTTTATTAGAAAGTCAAAAGAATACAATTTCCAAATATAATTTTTTTACAACACTTGAACATTTTCTCAGGTTGTTTAAGCGCTTACACTTGAAATCTGAGTTTTAAATTTCAATTTCATAACTGATGGGCTGGCTGACCACACTCAAGGCATGAACGCTACTTCACACCTGGTGGCTACAAGACAGCATCCAGATCCCTGAGCAATGATTCAGACTTCTAGGTCTGGTCTCCTACTAATATTCAGGGACAAGGCACAGGGCTTCCTAAGCTTGTTTCTTTCCTTCTCCAGCACTTAACCGTTCTGCTCGACCTCTGTGGAGAATACATAAGCCTTATCACCCTCGGTCCATGACCTACTTAAGCCCCATCTTTTGTGAAAAAGGAAAAAAACAAAAAAATTGGGAAGGAAAAGAAAAGCACTAGTCCAGAGCCAGCTAAAATGTTAACTGAGCAATCTTTCCACACTAACTGTTAGGCTACTCGATACAGGGTCAAAGCAAAAGCATTTATGCTATTTCATTGACACCCTCTTCTCTCAGATTCTTCAATCTATCATAAAGCAAATGTGAAAAATTTTACAGAACATTTCATCAGTGGACTTATACCCACAAGTTAGTTAACAATGGCAAAAGATTCCCCTGATGAAATTACAAGCCATGGAAGATTTGTAAAAGTTAAACCCTGATACAGTGTTAAACTTATCTTTTTACATATAAAAATAATATACAGTGGGATATTTTATTCAATCAGATACAATCTTTAAGATCAAGAGAGAATATATAAAACTAGACTATGTAGTCTGATATATGTTACTGTATAGTAGGAATAAATATGTGTAGAACAGACAATGTGAGGTCTGTTCTTAGAGAAATTACAGTTACTTAGGGGTTTTAAGCCAAGTGCTCTGCAGGTTCCAGGCAGAAAGGAGCTACTTGTTGCACTTAAAATGATGTGGTCATTATAAAATAAAGGCCTTAAATCTATAAACAATAACAAAAACACACAAACCAAATGAAAATGTACTAAAATTTAATCATTCATAAAAGCTGTAATTTAATCTGACAGTAAAACACAAGAAGCAATATTAGAGTCGGTTTAGTATATTATATATTTTAGCTTTGAAAGCCATAGAAATCAGTTATCCCAGTTTTTTTTTTCCTATAAAAGATCCATTTTTCCAAAGCATTATGCACAAACAATTTTAATTAGGATATAATGACAGAATGATATCTCATAATTTTTAAATATAAAATGAAGTCAATGACTCAAAAAAGTTATCTGCTGTAATGAGTTTGAGGGGAAATTTCATCATCTATATCATTACAGATATAAAGTATAATGTTCAACGTTTTAGTGCCTGACAGGAAGAATCATGATAAAAAGGTCAATATGAAATCATTTGATTATAGTAGCAATGTCTAACTTCTGAAATGCATCCATGCTCTTTTGTATAATCATATTAGAGTCAAGTATATTTATTTTCACATCTGTTATAACTGCTATTGCAAAGGAGAAATACTATTGTCTTATTTTCCGAGAGATATACACAGAGCAATTTTTTTTTTTCTCCAGGGAACTTGTGCAAACCAATATAAGATCTAAATTCTTCACATAATATATAAAACAGGAGAAACCTCTTCAGATTTGTTTTTTGAAGTCTGGAATGCTGGCACTTTCCAATTAGGCAACAGTTCTTCATTCCTGTAATCTAGAACATTGAACAGATACAGATATATGTTATTTATATAGTAAATCTCTTGATGTAGAAGATAACAGTAAACAGACATCTAATAATATAGAAGAATCAATGGTATAGGCTGATTGCTACTAGAGAACTAAATTATACTAAATCGCTCCAGTAACAGGGCTATTTTAGCTCCCTTTGAAAATGTTTAAAAAGTAGTTTTATTACACTGAGTGTTTTACAATATGTCTGACAGTCCTGTCTATAAAGAGGAAAACAGCCCTGGCCAGTTTGGCTCAGTGGTTAGAGCGTCGGCCCGCGGTTCAGGGAGACCCGGGTTCGATTTCCGCTAAGGGCACGTACCTCGGCTGCAGTTTGTCCCCGGCCCTGGATGGGTCGTGCGGGTGGCAACCACTCGATGTGTCCTTTCACGTTGATGTTTCTCTCTCTCCCTCCCACTCTATCTGAACAAAATATGGAAAAATATCCTCAGGTGAGGATAAAAAGAAGAGGAAAACAGTGACTGTTTCATTTCTATCCTATTATAATTTTATTTTGAAAGTTCCTTTCTACTAAGGAAACAGCATCTACTTACAAAATTTTCTATATGGGACAATCTTTTTTGCCCTGACCAGGAATAGAACTGGCAACCTTTCAGTGCATGGGACGACGCCCAAAAAACTGAACCACACAAGCCAGGGCTCTATGGGAAATTCTTTCCTCAACCATTTTATGACTGTATATATTAGGACTGCCACTTTTTATACAGGTTAGGACATGAAGAGGTGATACCGAAAGAACTGCTCCTCGTATTCAAGGGCAGCAGATGCACAGTCTTATTGCTTAGGAGAAAAAAAAATTGGGTTAAAGAATTTTTAAAAAATGAATTTCTCTTCTAGGTCTTTAAAAGTGGTACATATTAGAAAGATCAACTTGTTCCAATACAATTTTGCCTAAAGGTTAAGGCTAGATAAGCTGCCCTCGAGGTTCACGTTCTCTTAGTTGAGCCCATATCTCAGTACTCTTCAAATGGGATCAACATGGCCCTCACTTCTGTAATCAGGACAAAATGCTCTGCATGCAAAGTATTCCGAATTATCAGCATCCTATTACCAAACATGCTGAGAGAACTTGGGTGACTGAGTCATTATGTCATAAGTTGAATTACATAGCAGAGCCTAACAGTTTTTGCAATCAGGGTGAAAGTCTTATTTCTAGATGTAGAAATCCTTCCTCTTAAGGTAAATCTCACAATACACTGTAGGGTGTGTAAGAGTGAATTTTCACAATAGGCCAGGAGATGGCACCTCTTCCTTTAAATATAAATTTAATGGACGTTTCTGAGATCTGGAAATTAAACTAGGTTTAGGCAAAGTAATGGCACCAATAAGCCAGTCAACTTTAAGAGAGTTAAATAATATTCTTCAGAAAAGGAACAGAGCCCTCATTTCCCCTACCTTACCTAAACAAACACAAACACCAGCAATTTTAACAATAATCACTTTCAGGGAGCTGATGATTTACAGCTATTGAATCAAGATTTCTCTAAGAGCCAAAAGCAACCACGTGGCCAGAAGCTCTTCCTGAATCTGACTCCTAGAGGTGATGCCTTTCCCCTCTTTCTTTTAAAAAGGGAGTATTAACTACTCCGTTGTTTCCCTTAAGAGAGAGAAATTCATTCATCTCTCTCAGGAAGCACTTTATAGTTAATGTAGTGCTCTGGAAGAGGCAATCTACTAAACAGACCCAAGAGACTAGAGTTAGCACAACCAATTCTCAAGTGGGAACACTGACTTTCCTCTAAGCAGACCAGTTTACAAATTACATCATAAATCCACTGCATAAAAATATTCTTTTATGGTATTGTTTATGCAGTTGATAAAGATAAGCAGAAACTGTTCAGGAGATTTAAATACAGAATTAAAGAAAAACAAACAAATGGCCCCACAGGGCCTGGCTTCTCACTTGATAGGCAGCTTCAATGCTGGTGCTAATTCTTTCCAGTGGATTCACTTAATGAAAACTTACATGGCATTTAAAGTCAATGACTACTTAGAAGCCTCCAGACATCTGAAAACAGTCAACCCATACCTGGGATAAAATGACTACGAAAACTACACGGACGGAGCACCACACATCCAGCGGAGTGGCTCCAGCTTAGAAGACCTACAACTCTAAATCTGCGGGGAGGTGGACGCATAAACAGCTGGAAGGTGTGTTAACTGGTACAACTGCTTTGGAAAGCTTTTTAGTGGTATCTATAAAGCTTCCTGTGTATATGATATAGTGTACAACCTGGCCATCACATTCCTGGGTATACACCAAACAGAAACACATGCACACGTGCACGAAGACTTGTACAAGAATGTGCACAGCAGAATTACCCATGCTAGTTCTCCAAAAAACCTGAATGTCCATCAATAGAAAAATATGTACACATATTGCTAGTATAGTCATGTAATAAAAAGAACTACCGCTATATGCAATCAGTATAATTCTTTAAAAAAACAACATTTTTGAGTAAAAGAAGCCAGACATAAAATAATACATGTTTTTGTTTACATTAAGTTCAAAGAGAGGCACAACTAATCCATATTGTCAGGATTCAGGGCAGGGGTGCCTTCTGGGGAGGAAAGACTATTATTGAGATATATGGGTATGTTCTCTTTGAAATAATTCATCAAGTGTGCACTTCAGCCTTTTGGTAAGCCCTTTTGTTTCTGATGAAGCACTGTTCCACTTCGATGTGCCGTGAATTTGGAAGTGACCTTGGTGGGCATTCTATTTACTCAACCACTGTGTTTTGAAGACCCATTCTGTAACAGGCACCGGGGACACTGGTGAGCAGGACAGACACAGTCCTTCCCTCAGACAGCTTAGAATCTCATGGGGAGAGAGAAAAAGTACCTCAGAGAAGAGCATAACTTCAAGTTAGGTATCAGATTTACAAGCCACAGAAACCTGGAAATACCCTAACAAGTGCAATGGGAAGTGGTTAAAGTTGGGGACAGCTCAAAACAAAGTCGGAGGACAAGAAAGGTGTGTGTTCTGCTTTTAGCGTCTTACCTGGCTCAGAGCTGCTGCTTACTGCAAGTCTAAAGCAGCAGACATGATTTCTTTTTAGGCTTCTTCTTTTCCACTGGTGTTTTTCTATTTATCTGTCTGACCAGGTCATAAAATATCTAAATAAAAACAAGAAAAATGTACTTATTCAACCAACATTTGAGACCTTGTTCCATAAAACATTCTTGGTTCTGTTAAATATTACTCTGCTCCTGGACCTGAATCTTGCTGCTTTGTTTTAAAGGCCAGTTTCTTGGAAGCCACAGCTGACTCTTGGTCAGGGTAAAGCAGGACTTACCCTGATAATGAGGAAAACAGACTTGACCTTAGACAGTCAATGCCAAATTAAGAAAAATAATTAGTGCAAAATAAGGCAGTAAAGTTATAGTCTTCATGGAATCTTCTATGCTTTAAAACTTAATTATTAAGAAAATAGTTAATGCTCACCTTGAATCTTTGTATTTATTTTTTTTTAAACTTCAGACTTACAGAAATGTTGCAAAAATAGTAACCAAGAACTTGTGTTTATTCTTTACCTAGATGCACGTTAGTACCATTTTGCCACGTGTACTTGTGTGTGTTTGTGTCTCTCTCACACACACATACACTTAACCTTACACTCTCAATCATTTGAGAGTAGTTTGCATACCTCAGGTCCCTTACTATCTGAGTGTACATTTCCTCAGAACAAGGTTAATCTCTTACACAAACACACTACAGTTATCACATTCAAGACATTTAAACATCATTCTGTATCATCTACAATACAAAATCCAATTTATCAGCTTTCCCAGTAATGTCCTTTATAGTAATTGCCCTCCTCCTCTTCAGAAAGGATCCATCCAAGACCACATACTGTATTTCACTTCCTGTCACTTCAATCTTTTAGAACGGACCAGTTCCTCCACCTTTGTCTTTCATGACATTGTCATTTCTGAAAAAAGTGGCCAGGAAGTTTATGAAATTTCCCTTAATCTGGGCTTGCCTGCTGTTTCTGCAGGATTAGATTCGTGTCATACATTTTTAGCTAGAATAGGACAAAAAAGATATTGTGTTCCTCTCAGCACGATTTCAGCTTGCTCCTTTTTGGTGATGTTAATTTTGGCTAAAGTGAGAAAGAGAAATGGCCTGTGACCCCTGATTTAAAGTGACAAACAATAATGTTAATAAATCTTTTGGGTTCATTTTGGATGAAAAATACAAGGTATCAAAGACAAAAGTACAATACTACCTATTTCACAGAAGAAGATTAATTCTCGTATGTTTATGTGCTTCACAGTGCTAAGTGTGCCAAAGTGTCAGAACAAGAAATAGATCAGCTGGGTTTGGTTTTCTGCTATAAAATGCAAATGCTCCTTTACTAATGACCTGGAATAGAAGCAAAGGATCACAGATGCTTCTTACTATTCTTCATCTGAAATAAACAGCACCTTGTATCAAAATGTTCCAGCTTTTAGGGGCATTATCAGGACAACTGGGGAAATCTAAGTATGTGCTAAACATGCATTATTTCAATATCAATTCTCTTTATTTTAATAACTATATTATGGTTGTGTAAGAGCATGTCTTTCATCTAAGGGTACATACACTAACATATTTAAGAGTAAAGAAGTATGATACATAAATATGTGACAAAATGTTAGTAACTAATGAATCTGGATGAACGGTAAACAGAAATTCTTTTTGTTGTTCTTGTATCTTTTCAGGAAGTTTTCAAAGTAAAATATTTTTTAAATTATTGGTCTACATTTTTTAAGATCAACTCAAATGAAACAACTTCTGTTTACTTTTAAAAATGGTTCTAAGATTATAATTTGTTAAAAAGTAAAAAACACTACTGAATGATTTAACCTAAGGCTATAAAAGTGATTATTCATTTATACTTTTCTTTCTGTTCCCTCTTCTCCACTCCCATCTTCTTCAAACCACTTAACTCTATTATCTTATTTCTGAGAAAGCTGAAAACACAGAATTTATGAATAAAATAGTGCTTTTTGTTTCACAACTCTGAAATACAAGTTGTTTCACAACTTTGAAGCCCTTCAAGAACTTAAAATTCGTAAGCTATGAACAAGCTCTTATTAGTTCAGTAGCCTCAATACATAAGCTATAAAATGAAAAATAATAAAACAGTAAATTAATCAAAACCACACATTTCTTTATGCCAGCCTGTTTCAGTTTCTGGTACTATACAGAATGGTAGCTGATTTTGTAGTATTATCCTCAATGATTTCTTTGACAAACACTGCCTACCTCAAAACAGTGATGAGGTTCAGTGACGAGGTCAAGTTCAAACTATAGTATATGTTAGGTATGCTGAAAAAGCCATCAGCCTAGGTTCTTCCTCATCTCTCTGACCTACAGAAAAATCTAAAGGGGACACAGAATAGTTTCTCAATCCCTCTGCCATTCCTCAATTAGGATGTCTTAATTCCTATTATTCTTCTCAGCAAAGAACAATACTTGATTAAGACTAATGGTGATTCTAGTACAGCTATGCAAAAATGATGTGAATAAAAGTTGAATCTTGTCAAAGTCTCTACCTTCAGGTATTCAAAACTCATGTTTACAAAGCTTTAGTTGTCTGAAGAACTACTATTTAAGAGACTCTGGCCCTGGCCGGTTTGGCTCAGCGGTTAGAGCGTCGGCCTGCGGTCCAGAGAGACCCAGGTTCGGTTCCCGCTAAGGGCATGTACCTCGGTTGCCGTTTGTCCCCGGCCCTGGCTGGTCGTGCGGGTGGCAGCCACTCGATGTGTCCCTTTCACATCGATGTTTCTCTCTCTCTTCCTCTCTCTCCCTCCCACTCTATCTGAACAAAAAATGGGAAAAAAAAAAATATCCTCGAGTGAGGATTAAAAAAAAAAAAGAGAGAGAGACTCTATAGCTGGATTATGAGGCTATAAAGAGAGAAACATTTTTTTTTTTTTTTTTAAACCCTCAAATTATTACACTCTGAAGAATTTCTAGTATGAAGTTTGTAATGTTTTACAAAAAAGTAAAGATCCTTAAACAGCAAATGTATTTCATTTTGTTTTGTTGTTCTATTTTTGTTTTATAAACCATGTCAAGGGTTGACTTTAACAACTGCTGTGAGAAAGTAGCTCTGCTGCACTGGAAACCACAATGCAGAGGAAGATTCATTAGCATGTACATTCCCATCAACATGTGATGCTTACATGGTGAGGACAACCTCTGTCCACTGTGCTCAATCGACCCAGGCCCAACCTAGCTGAGCCCTATGTACTTGGTGGGTGGTACCAGTAAGGGTGAGGGCAGGAACAGCAAGGAACCAGAGCCTTAATGCCAACCAATCATCCTGCAGGTGGTGACCTTGCACTACTGTTATACTAATGCATTTTATCTCAAATTATCTTTATTTTTTCTTTTTAGAAAAAACTATACTAAAAATCAAAATTCTGTGATTAGCCATGTTTTTCAAAATAACATCTATGAAACTGTAATTCCACAACAGAAAGAGTTGAAGCTGGAAGCATCTCATACGTCCTTCCATTTACTTGGCAGAGAATAACAATCGTTACTGAAGATCTCAGCAGGACCTGTTCCCACTGGGATGCAAACGTCTTTAAGGCAGGAACAGCATCTGTCTAGATGACTGCTGCTATTCTGATGCCTAACACAGTGCCAGAGATGTGGGCACACAATAAACACAACAGAAGAATTTCTTATTTTTATGTACTTATTAAAATTAGGTTTGACCTAATAAAGCAAGCTTTGACATTCTTGATTATTTGTAAAACAGAAATTTGCAGCAAGTTTAATTTTTTTCCCCTGCCAGATATGTAATGTAATTTGGTCATTTCAAAAGTGAGACAATAGTCTAAAACCACATTAGTCAGATAAAAATGACTTACAGAACCAAAGGCCAGAGAGGAACAGCAAGAGAGGAAAAACAAGACTGCAATAACCTAACCCACTCCCAACTCTCATCTATGTTGCGAGTGAACTGAATTCTAACTGATTACCTGGGATGTTACAAATGGCAAGCACACCAGCAAGTGAACCTTATGCATTTCCAGGAAAGGAAAGGTGTAAAAAAAAATGCTTTATGTTAAAATGAACAAAAGCAAAGTGAATCTCAAATTTTTGCTTGGTGGTAGCAGTTGGGGACTGAACTAATCTTTTAGGGATACAGAAAAAACTACTGGCTCTTTACACCCAGGCAGGCAGCTTGCTTGTTAAGCATTCCTGTCCATAACCATGTTCTCAAGATAGTGGAGTGCTTAAGTCATGGATAAAAAAAGCCTTGTGCACCTGCTGTATTGGCCAAAAAGAGAGTGAATAACAGTCCACACTCAGATTCCTCCCTTTGAGCCATGCAGTAAAGGGAGGCAGGACTCAAAACACCAAATTCTGTGATATCCATGAGGTAGTATTTTTCTGTATAACAAAAGTTCATTATAATAACTACTTTAATTTTTGTGGTTTCCTACTGACTTTATGACCTATTCATACATATCTGCATAAGCAATTGTTACAATATAAAGGTGATGTGACAATTTTCATAAACTCCTTTCTGGCATATAACCTAGGTTCAGTAAGACTTTAAACATATTCTTTAACTTAAACTTTCTCTTTGCACTTAAGGTAAGTATGAACGTCCTCATTACAGTCATCAAAGTGATCTTATGCAAGCAAAAAATAACTTAGTGTTTTCTATAAATTGGTAAATCAAGATTGTTTAAAAGAACACTTTTTTTTCTCAAATAATTTTGGGCTGTTAAAATGAAGGAGACTAAAAGGACACTTGTTTGTGTTGCCTAGCATCTGTAGGTTACCTCATTAACGTTGATCTTTGACTTTGCAGAAGATTCTAAAAAGGCACAGTTACACCACTGTCTTGCTAAATTCTGACCCTGTTCTTTGCCAACTACTCGCTCATCTTCCAGGTCACATTTATTGCCAACCAAAATCATTGGAACCTGTGGGAAGGAAATAACAGAAAATGAACACTAACATCCTCGTTAGTTATCCTTTTATAAGTAAGCAACTACCTGCCACCAACAGCAATGTATTAGTGAGGATTACACGCTTCGCCGAGTGCTTAAAAAAAGATATCTCCATGTGTGCTGGTGGGAAGAAGGTGGATAGAGGGGAAGAGACAGAAAAATTATGAAAGAGATCCTACTACATTGATTTGCTAATTATTTTAAGTCTACAATCCCAAAATTCTCATGTGGGCTACTAGTGATAGTTGAATTCCAAGTAGAAAAATCTGAATACAGAGGAGAATGTACTTGTTGGCCTAACTGTGGGGTAAGTGCTTCATCTCATAGTCCCAACAAATGCCAGAAGCAGCGGCAAGACCAACACAGGAACAGGAACAGGTTCTGCGTCTACACTTGACATCTAGATCTAAGACCAGTTTAGGTGAATTGTTAAGGAGAAAATAAAGCACAAAGCAGTGATGTCTTCCCTTTTCTCCACAACAGAAATGCTTGGCTATATCCATCCACAACCCCCCAACTTCCAATAAAACAGGTTGCTAGCCCTGGCCGGTTTGGCTCAGTGGTTGGAGCATTGGCCTGCAGACCGGAGAGTCCCAGGTTCGGTTCCCACTAGGGGCACGTACCAAAAGAAAAAAACAAAAACAAAAACAAAACAGGTTGCTAACAAACTGGACAATACTTTTAGTTCAAGAGTACACAGAGAGCAAAGTCATTTGTAAAGTGATGGACACAATACAAAAGAAAGCATTTAAGGGACATGGTGGATCTTGAATGAAGCAGTATTGGAGTAAAAATAGGCAATTATCACGAGTTAGATAAAACACTAGGCACCTACCACTCCATCATTTTTAGTTTGTTATATGGGATAAAAAGATTAACAAACATTACCAGAGTTCAGTGATTTGCATGTAACTGCCTAAGAAAACAACTCTTAGATAAATTAGTCATGGGAAGAAAGATAACTATTCATTAGGTTATGGTTGGTCATGAAGCATATGGTATTAAATCCCTCTCACCTACAATATTACCAAAGTTAGGGTCCCAAGCCGGTACATACGTTCCCATTAATAATAAAAGAGAACACAAGAGAAAAAGGTACAAATGATATATCTTAACTGATACAACTAAAAAGGAACTCTCAGTAGTTCAATACTGAAGTCGACATGCAAAACATACATTTTATCTTTGCAAAAAGGCACAACGATGCTACTCATCAAAAAAGCCAAGAATTCTAAAACAAAAATAAAATTGAAAAATATAAAAACCTTGTTAACTAAAATCTTTAACATAATAAAAAAACGATAAGTAAAAACTATACCAACAGGACTTCAGAAACAGGAACAAGTCATTATGGTTCTTAGGGAGTAATACTTTCAACAATACAGATGCATTTTAAAAAATCATATGGTTCTTGCCCAGCCAGCCGGTGTGGCTCAGTGGCTGAGTGTCGACCCATGCACCAACAGGTCGCCGGTTTGATTCCGGTCAGGGCACATGCCCAGGTTGTGGGCCCGATCCCCAGTGGGGGGCATGCAGGAGGTGGCCAATTGATGCTCTCTCTCATTGATGTTTCTCTCTCTCTAAAAATAAATAAAGAAAAAAAAAATTTTTAAATAAAAAAAAGTAATTATGGTTCTTAATAATGTTCTTTAAACCCTGTTTCTGACATAACTTCCACCCCTCAAAACCCAACCCGAGTCCCACTTCTTCTACCAAACATTCTTCGACTCCTCTGCTGACTCCACACTGCACAACGAGCACTTTATCATACCTGCCCTCTTTTCCTAACTATCTCAATAAGCATATAATTTTTAGGTAAATTTAGAAAGTTAAACATTTTTTTGGTGACAGGGGCTCTTTTAGGCATGTGGTAGATACTCTCCAAATACTCTACTGACAGGGCAAACAGACACTTTTTATTTGGCCACAGAGAAATGGCAGTGTGTCTTATAGAGAGATAGATACTTACATCTTCTGTGTCCTTAACCCGTAAAATTTGTTCCCTCAGGTCCTGTAAGTCATTAAACGTGGACTGAGCTGTAATAGAATATACTAGTGCAAACCCTTGGCCATTCTTCATATACAAATCCCTCATCGCTGTAAATTGCTCCTATAATAAAAATATGTAATTATAAACAATTTCTTGAACATACATTGAAACAGTTGAAATCAGAATAATCACAAGAACTGAACCCTGTGGCTCTCAAGAGCTTAAGGAGATGAGGATGAATTAGAAAAGAGTAACCAAGGACATAGGCAAAAACCAAGCCAAGGGTTGTTTCCTGGAAGCCAAATGAGTAGACAGTGAACAACTGAGTCTAAAGTTGCTGAAAAGTCAAGGGAGTTGAGAATCTATGCAGAGGAGTGTTTAGGAATGAGACCATGGACTTGAAGCTATGTGAACAGGGGCTTGAGGATATGAGGAATAATCACAGACGTTAGGATAAATGGACTGCAGGTTCCAGTGAAGTTAAAGGGTATGAAAGAAAGTGAGGTGGAAAAACAGGAAGTGGTAAGTGAGAGTGGCATGCTTAAAAAGGAGATGGGTGGCATTATAGTTATAACTACATAGTCTAAGACCATAGGCGTGAATGGCTGAAGCAGGATGGAGGTCAAGGAACTGACAGGCCAAGCTACTGGATTATCTATAACATCTGCAGAGATTCTATCTGGATACTAAAATCAACAAGAATTCTGAATGAAGCAGTATTGGAGTAAAAATCTTAATGGAGTAAGGAGTGATCTGAAACAAGATATATACTAATATTATTATACTCATTTAAAGATAAGAGAAATGAGGCTCCAAATAATCCTAAAGAGTTTTGTCAGAAAACATGTACCTGTCACCAGCCCCTTGAGATGTTAAAATACTAATAAAAGCAAAACAGTTTTTATAAAAATAAATGACTATGGTGCCAAGAGACAACATCTTATTTAAGCCCAGTGAAATACCTACTTTAACTAAAATTCTGGATTTAAAATACCTTTATTTGAGCAGTAATAGCATCATCCTTACCTGAACACAGGGAGAAGAAACCCAAGAGAGAGATTCTATAGGTGAATTCAACATTCAATTTAATAGCGAGATGTGGGCTTTAAGTCCCTCACAGATGGCTTCACGCATATAAGAACATTTAAGAAGCCCTAGTTTAGAGAATTTGTTTTTAATCAGAATAATTAATTTTACTCAGAGGAATTATTCAGATGATAAAACCTGTTTACAAATTAATATCTATTAAAAAAGGAGAAAGCATTCTTACCGTTCCTGCTGTATCCAGGATTTCAAGCATACACTGTTGGCAATCTACTTCAACTTGCTGTTTGGAAAGGGAGAAAAAGTAATATCAAAATGTCAGTCTGTTTTTCTTCCACCTCTTTACTCAAAGTGCATATTAGCAATGATGACAGAGCCTTTCCTCAGCAGTTTGCTGGATTGGTGGAGACTTAACTTAACATTACAATTAAGAACAGGAGGTCTCGCCCTGGCTGGTTTGGCTCAGCCATTAGAGCATCAGATGGCAGACCAGAGAGTCCTGGGTTTGGTTCCTGCTAAGGGCACATATCTTGAGTTGCAGTTTGTCCCCGGCCCTGATTGGGGTCCTGTGGGTGGCAACCACTCGATGTGTCTCTCTCACATCAATGTTTCTCTCTCCCTCCCACTCTATCTGAAGATAAATGCAAAAAAATATCCCCGGGGTAAGGATTAAAAAAAAAAAGAACAGAAGTCTCAGGAATTTTCTATTAATATTATAGAAGCAAGGACTATTAATGCTAAGTTTAGTTTTTTGTTTAGTTTTTTTACCTCTGTAAACTCTGAGTAATGATTTTTGTTACTGAAAATAAATGGTCAGATTCTATGATAAGAAAAATTGCAGCAAACAGGTATAGTTCTAACAAAAAAAAAGTATAAAATACATTTATTCATATTATCTTTAAAGAAAATACAGCACAACAGTATTAAATAACTTCAATGCAAACAAGGTTTGGGAGCAAAAAAAATTTGCCACCTTACCATGTTTCAAGTTGTTAAAAGTTTTATTGAAATACATTATATCCCAAATTTTAATACATAGAAACTTTTAGTAAGAGATAAAGGGGACAGAGGTGCTAATGAATAACAATGAACTCATATAGTCCTCAAGACTTTAAGCAAAAGGTACTTCTTTGGAAAAGCTGTGTGCATAAGGTGAAATTTTACACCATGAACTCATTTTCCCAGTGTTTTATCAAAGAACAGAAGGTTGGCCTAAAGAAAGTATCAACTCTCAACTGTGTGGAACATTTTTAATCAAGAAAGGATTAAGAAAAGTGGTCAATCTCCTGAATTCCAGGTTCACATCTCCGTTTGTAGTTAAAGCTTTAACCAGCAATTTATTTTGGGGAAATCTCAGGAACGCAATACTGTGTTCTAAAATTAACCTGAGGCCTATTTTAACTCTGCTTCTGTGTCAGATCAGGGACTGATGGGCACCACTGGTGGCCACAAATTCATTGTCCCACCACTTGTGGGACGAATGTGGTAACCTGCTCAATCTGTAAATGGGCACATTCAATGAAAAATGAATTAGGCTTACAGTTTCTCAAAGTATCTAGAGCACAATTCTGTATCCAATTTGCACAGATAATGAAACTGCTCCACCGGTACAGCTTGATGAACTAAATTTCCTATTTGCTGAAATGTAGTTTTAACCTTTCTTTTGGATAATGTTGGCTTCTAGTCTTTCTTATAAAACTGTCCCCCCATAAGGTTTAGTAAATAAATCATACAAATTCTCCATAATTCTAGGTAGTCTCGTAATTAAGTAAAATAGTACCTTTTTGTCAAGATCACAACAAAACTGGGCAAAAATACAGAGTTCCCATTTACCCCTCTGCTCCCAGCCAGCCTCCCTACTGTCAGCATCCCACACCAGAGTTGATTCTGTTAGAATTAATGAACCTACTATATCAATACATCAGTATCATGCAAAGTTCACAATTTAGAGTTCACTTTTGGTGTTGTACATTCTATGGGTTGGGAAAATGTATAATAACATGTATCCACCATTATGGTATCAAACAGAATCCAACAACTAATTTTTTATAGTCTAAAGATAAAATATCCTTAAAGTTACTATATAACTAAACATAAATAAAAACTTTCAGTCACTAGAAAACTTCAAGAATAGTTCTCAAAAAGTTTGTCAAAAATACACCTAATTCATATGCAATTTTTCTACATTAAAAATAATCTCCACCAAGAAAACAAAAATATTTTGTCTGGTAAAACTTTTAAAACTAGATACAGAATATTTGTATCATTTCTCAAAAAACTGTTTTTAGAAAAGCAATGCCATGGGTCAAGTTTTAAAGTCATAAGGAACTACTTATAAACATGTGCATACAAGTTTCACATTTTACCTTTCTGTAGGAATCTTCTATCGTTGGGTCATATTTTTCAACAAAAATTCCCTGAACAAACTGAACTGTCTAAAAAAAAAAAAAAAGTAAAGTTAAGGACTTAAAAGAAAAATCAACCCCTCTAAATGTTATTAACCTGACAATGTGGTACAGATTAAATGAAGTTATGTAAAAATTCTGGGAAAACATGCATATATAAAGTATTATTTTTCAATATAACGACACATTGATAAGGAAGAGCGCACTTACTATGAAAGGAAGCGGTCATGTTAAAAAGTCAGCAATGCTGCTGCTGACATGGCACTGTTAATTACTACATTAAGTTTTAAAATACAACAAAGATATAAATAAGGACATAGATTCTAATTTATTAAAAAATGAAAATTATCAGTAAACTCCCATTATTCCTCTATATATCTGCAGTAACTTTTATCTCAGGCTCTCAGAGACAGACAAAAGGTTCTAAATGTTAAAATCTTGAACCAGTCTTTCTAATTTGGGGGAAAAGAGAATTAAAATGTATTGAACTTATCGAATTTATAAGCACATTCAAATTTCACATTCACTCCAAGGTATTTTTCCCATTTGCCAGCTGAGATTCAAACGTATACCACCTCAATTCCTAAGCCTTACGCTTTTCATTGGAAAATGCTGCCTACAAATCTCTTTCAGATTATCTACTTTTATCTCTAGGATTTCTGTAAGCACAGACTAGAAACTAGGTGTTTTATCATCTGACAAATGAAAAGAACAAAATTTCCTGGATAGCTTTAAAACAGGATCTGGTCCATTAACACCTAAAAACAAGGTTAAGGATGTAGGCTGAGATCATCGACACTTAAGTTACCCAGAGGAGAATTTTGTATATGATTCTAGCTTGAGCTAAACAGAATAAAACTTGAATAGGGTAAATTTCAAACATCTCTTACTAAGCTCCTATTCTTCCAATGAAACTGAGGATATAAGCATACCAAGAACTATTTTTATCAAGGATTTGATCAGCTCATCTTCTCAGTATTTCATATAACTTAAATATAAAAAAACTTCCTAATATGCTTTACACTAGAGCAGCGGTTCTCAAAATAGGTTTCAAGGCAGAGGTTTAGAAGGAAAGGGCTGTTTTCCTGCCCTGGCCAGGTGGCTTGGTTAATTGGAGCATCATCCCCTACACAAAAAAAGTTGTGGGTTCGATCCCCGGTTGCAGCATGAATGAGAGATAACTGATTGATATTTCTCTCTCTCTATCAAATCAATGAGCATATCTTTGAGTGAGGATTAAAACAAACAAAAATATACCTGTTTTCCTAATATACTATAATGCACTCTCATAAATTTACAGTGAAGTTTTTCAAAGGGTACATATATAGAACACATGCTATAGCAAGAAACTGGATGTAAAAGCAGTGTGAGAACCCAAGTGCTTTCTACAAGCCAGCTGTGAGACAGATTTGTAAAAAAGACAATCACACACACTTCTCGCTCCTTTGTTACAAAAGCAAGCATTCATTACTTCTCTGAATTGCATCATCTCAGTTCTCAGGGACATCTCATTCATTCACACAGACTTTTGTTTTAATCCTTTAGTTTTCCTATTGGATCCTCTGCTTCCTTCTTTACCTATTGTCTTTTCTGTAACAGTCACTCCCTTCTCATGCACCCTCATTTTCCTCCCCACCGGACTATTGCCTCCAGCATACCAATATGCTCTATCATCTCTTAACCTAAAGTAAAAACCTTCCATTATTCCACAGTCCCTCCAGCTTCTGACCCCTTACCGTGCCCCCTCTCATAATCAAACTTTATCAATGATCTACAAGAGTGGTTTCACTACCTCAGCTCTCATTCACTCTTCAACCCACCCCACGATGGTTATGACACCATCACTTACTGAAGCTGCTTTTATCAAGTCCAGCTACCTCCATGTTTCCCAGATCTTTTTCCTCTGCTTCACCTGATACTGGTGCAGTCAACTAAAGATACAGTTTTTGCATTCAAGTACAAGGCATATTCTTCGATGCTGGATCCTTCCATTCCACCTACTCTTAATAGGCTGAGGTCCTCAGAGCCTAGTCCTGAGTTATCTTCTCTACTTAGACAACCTTATTTTTTCCTATAGATTTTTACTTTTAATTATTTTGTTTATTTTTGAAAAAGTAATTCATGGACATAGGCTACAATGCAAAAGACATAAAAGACTATGCAGTGGTAACTAATTCTACCTACCACCTTTGTTCCCAGCTACTCAATTCCACTCCCAAGGAAGTAACTGTTATCTGCAGCTTATTTAACCTTGCAGAGATAGTTTGTGTATTCTATCTCTCTCCCCTCATTCTCCCTTTCTAAGGAAACACAAATGGTTGTTGATGTTGTTTGGTACCTTTTCCCTCCCTCAATAATATATCTTAGATATCATCACATATCTATATATATAGAGAGATGCTATATTCTTTTAAATGGATATATAGTAGTCTACTCAAAATAATATATTAAAAAATTACTAAACTAGCCCCTAATGGTAGCCATTTAGGTTGTTTCCAAACACTTGCCACTGTAAAGAACGTTGCAGTGGATATCTTTGACCATGTAATTTTGTGGGGAATAAATTTCAGATAGGTACTTGTGAAATCGAACATTACATGCATTCAAAATAATTTCTCAAACATTTACCAGAGAGGTACTAATTTATACTAATAGAAATTTAATTCTCATGAAATTAAATACCACAGACATATTCACAGTACCTCAAATCATATCACAAGTCTCTCTTTTAAGTTATTATATCTTGAAGATTCAATTATTTACTTGACATTTTTACTCAAACAGCTCACAAACATCCAATTTAACATGACTCTTGATTTTCACTCTAACTTTGCCCATTCTCTGGCATTCTTCTATTTAAATGATCCATCCATAAAATTAGTACAACAAGAAATTTGGGAATATCCTTGACAACTCCTTTCCTAGTCCCCACATCAAATCAGCACTAAGTCAGTTCAACCTCCTATTTAATTCTCAAAACATCTACTTTTCTCTTCTTGACTGCCATGGACCTAATATAAGCTTCCACTAGCAATAATCAGGTATACTGCATTAACTTTCAACTTGTCCCCCACATCTACTCTGTCTCTTGTCTAAATTACTCTACACAGAGCAGTCCAAATGCTCTCTTTAGAACATATATCCAATTATGTCACCCCTCCCCCCCCATACCTATCTTCAATGGCTTCTCATTGTCATCAGGAATAAGTTCCAAGTTCTTAGGGTCTTTAAGTCATGATCTAGCCCCTGCCTGCCTCTCACCTCATTTCCCTCTACTTTCCCCCTTGTCCACTCCTGCCATAGCAAATTTGACTTTTCTCTTAGTTGTTTAAATGCTAATTTAGGTTCACTTGTCATAGGGGCCTCTCTTAACAATCTGTACTCTTCTTTCAAATTATCTTTCGCAATTATAATCAAGCCATTCTTTGTTTAATTGTGTATTTATCACATCTCCTCTAGGATGATGTAAACTCTACCAGGGACTGGTATGATTTGTATTCACTGTTACAACTCCAGAGCCTGACACTTTAGAAGCTCGATAGATATTTACCAATTAAATATAGCATGCATACAATAAATGACCTTCATTCCACTTAAGTCTGGGATAGGGTAGGACTTACTCCACTGGTATCTGTAATAATCAGTCTCTCCCATGTGAGTGTAAATTCCTTAAAAATGAAAACAATCTTAGTTCCTCTTTGCACCATGAACACTAGTGTTTGACATATAGTAGGTAGCCAATAAATATTTGGTAAATAAAAGAATGAATGAGCCACCATTATAAAACTACACATCTGTGGTTACTAAAAAAATCCCTATCACCTCTGGGCTAAATTAAAGCATATAAAAAATACTGCCATCTTTTCTCTTTAGTGACATGAGGTTTCAAAGCAAAAATATATCAATGTTCTCTTCTTCTATTACACTAATTAGTTATAGTCAGGTGGCTAACTTACCAGAGCAGATTTCCCCACGCCTCCTGAACCAAGGACCACTAGCTTGTACTCACGCATGATGTGGTCTGTTTAAATACTGACAATCTGAGGGGAGAAAAAAAAATCAAAGATTACTACATATGCTAAGATTAGCCTAAGAATGTACAACTGTTACATGAAATAATATGAGATTTTGTTTGTTTGCTTTTCCCCTTAAGACTATCAAAGTGAAGACGAGAGGCTACACAGTAAAACCATGCAGATTTTAACATAAATTTGTAGGACTACTGCCAAGCATTTTTATTCATTAAAGATCATTTTTTGCCCTGGCCAGTTTGGCTTAGCGGTTAGAGTGTCGGCCTGCGGTCCGGAGAGACCCGGGTTCGGTTCCCGCAAAGGGCATGTACCTTGATTGCAGTTTGTCCCCGGCCCTGGTTGGGTCGTGTGGGTGGCAACCACTCGATGTGTCCCTTTCACGTGGATGTTTCTCTCTCTCTCTCCCTCCCACTCTATCTGAACAAAAATATGGAAAAATGTCCTCAGGTGAGGTTCAATTCCGGCTAAGGGCACATACCTCGGTTGCGGTTCGTCCCCAGCCCTGGTTGGGGTCGTGCAGGAGGCAATCAATTGATGTGTCCCTCTCACACTGATGTTTCTCTCTCTCTCCCATTTTTCCCCCTCTCCCCCTCCCACTCTGTCTGAAGATAAACTGAAAAATATCCTCAGGTGGGAATTTAAAATAAATAAATAAAATAGGTGCATTTTATTACATGTGCATTATAGTGCAATAGAATTAATTTAAGAAAATTCAACAAGGAAAATTTCTCAGAATGCCAATTATATACATAGTGTTATGAACTGAATGTGGCCCCTGCAAATTCTTATACTGAAACCCTTTCTCTAATTCGATGGTATTAAGAGGTGGGGCCTTCGGGAGGTAACTAGGGTTAGATCAGGTCAAGAATACAACAAGACGGTCATCTACAAGTCAGGACACAGGTCCTCACCAGACACCTGATTTGCCAGTGCCATGATCATGGACTTCCCAGCCTCCAGGACTGTGAAAAATAAACTTGCTGTTTAAGCCATCCAGTCTATGGTCATTTATTATAGCAGCCCAAGTGGACTGTAACATAGTAAGGATAAATGAGTAGACTATGCAACAGACATGATAGCAAGAATGATTGTTGTTCTGAACCGAACATTTACAAAGCATCTCCTAGGTTATCAATTCTATACTAGGTATCAGGGAAACAAAAATCAAAAGCATATGTTTCCCATCCTCAAGTAGCTCACAGAGGAAGAAAAAACAAATAACTACCATATTATGTGAACAAAGATATCTCAGAGACAAAATTAAAGGGTTGGGAGAGGTGGAGGAAAAGAGGAGAATGCAGGATAGTTTTTCAATGCAAGTTACATAAGAGCTAACTAATAACTGAATAGGCACGCTCCAGTTATATAGGGAAGGGCATTCTAAGCAGAAGGAACAGCTTGAGTTAATACTCTACACCATGAAATAGAAAAGATCCAAGGAAGACCACATAGACAGTGTGGCTAGAACACAGGGTTTCAAAAGGTCGAAAAAATGAGGCAGGATATGGAGATTGGGTAATGCTTGCAAACGCATCTGCCATATTTAAGAGTTTATATTTTATCTAGTAAGCAACGAGGAGAAAATTGGGTTTTTCAAAAGGATTATATAGTTAGATATATATTCTGGAAAAATAACTGATACCAGTATATAAAATGGAATGAAGGAAAGAGAAACTAGAGCCCTGGCCAGTTTGACTCAGCAGTTAGAGTGTCAGCCCGCGGACCTGAGAAACTAGAGACAGGGTGAACTGTTAGGAAGCTACTGGAATAGCTCAGGTGGGAAACGGTAGAAACCTGTACAGTAGCACTAGGGCTGAAGAGGGACCAGTGTTTTCTGAAGGTAAAGCTGAGAAGACTCCATAGCTGATTAGAGGTTATTATTAAGAAGATCGTGGATCACCTAGCAGGTTTGCCTTAGTGCTTAGAGTGTGTTGCCCATGAACCAAAGGGTTGATTTCCAGTCAAGCGTATGTACCTGGATTGCAGGTTAGATTCCTGGTCCTAGTCCGGGTCACATGGGAGGCAACAAACTGATGTGTCACATGGATATTTCTCTCCCTCCCTCCCTATCTAAAAGTCAAGGGAAAAATATCCTCAGGTGAATTAACCAAAAAAAAAGATGATGATGAGTTGAAGATAGCTAGACTGAAGAGTTGAGGACAACCCCTATTTCTAGCTTGGACAAATGAGGTGGCTGGCAGCATACCTCTCATTAAGACAAAAACTACAAAAGGAGGTTTAAAAAGAAAGTTAATACTTCCTGACAAAAATTTATTTTGAGAATCCTATGAGAAAGCAGGTAGAGATATCTGACAGATATTTAAAAATCAAAGTCTGGAAGCTCAGTAGAGACCAGTGAGCTAGAGGTATAGACACAGGAGTTGTTGTTATGAAAGATAGTAGTTGAAGCCAAAGATGATCAACCAAGGAGTATTTATTCAGTGAACACGGAAGAAAGCTAAGAACTGAGCCCTGAGAAATAACCACATTTTACTATATGGATGGACAGGAAACCTGAGGAAAAAGTGAAGTGGGAGAGGTATATGCGGGACACTAGTCATACTACAGAAAACAATGTCTGTAGCAGGTGATTCTCTCATTTCTATGAAAAAAAAAAAAAAAAATACTGACAGTTAAACACAAGAGCATATATTTCATCCAGATAGATCTCCATATCCATAACTCCCTTTCCAGGCCCCAAGTGATTCTTAGTCTGAGGACTGCTGTTATTTTAACAAGATGTCATTTCATTAAATCCAAAAATGTGTACCTTTTAAGAGGGAATCCTAATATAGTAAGGCTCACTTATAATCCCCCAATTACCTCCTTGGGCAAGAGAATTTGGGAAAAGCACACAGACATGGCCAAATTATTTTGGGTATTCTACAACAATAAAATATTTGGCCCATTTCTCAACTCAAGTGGTAACAGTCAAGTTCCAGAGTCCTTTTTCACATATATTATATGTACAGAAAATTATTTCCTTTACACATAACAAATACCATGGCTTACGAATGTAAATCTATATGTACACATGCAAAAACAAGAATGTATAGCTCAGATAAAACACACACACATAAATGCCCAGTAAGGATAATATGAATTAATATCTTCCTTTTAAAGGGGTTAGTTCTAACTCATTACTGCCAAGTTAGAAAACCACTATGTTCTTCCAGGCAAATCCCATGCCTTTTTATGGAAATCTCTTGTGCCCTGCACTCCCAACACAGCACCAGAAAATTTCTCACTCTGGTTAAGATTCCCTGACAAATAAGGAGGACAAGAATACACATTACACGATGTTTAAATTTAAGTCAATCTTGAGTCCCTAATATTATGGTCCAAAGTTATAATATAGCAGTTTTTCATTCTTCCTTCAGCAAAAGGAAGAACTTCACAAGATATAATATATAACTTCATTGTCTGTGACACAAATAGATCCCACCTTCACTTGTCTTTAAATATGTAAACTAATTATAAGACAAAATAGTTTCTCCACAACTAAACCTACAAAAGTTATTAAAGAATATTAAGCTGTGACAAGAAATTTTAGAGAAAAAAAATTTTTACATGAAAAAACACTGAAGGTAGTTTCTTAATAAGCAGTTATTTTGCTGGTTATATTTAAATGTTTAGAGTCATGACTATTTTAAAACTTACAACTGACCACAACATGCTGGGGGTGGGGGGAGTGGTGAGTAAATATAGAAATCATGTTTAAGATTGAACTTTCTGAAATAAAGAACAGTGTTCTTTATAGTACATCATAATGAAAGTTCAACATTTTTTTGTAACATAAAATCACATTATTTTCTGATTGAGAGAATATTCTTGATATTTTCTCCTCACTCTTCTCAACACTAGTACTTTGGGGGAGGATTCATACAGAGATAAAATGATGAAACATATGTATTAAAAATGAATTTTTTTTTTTTACCCTCACCCGAGGACTTTTTTTTTCCATTTTTTGTTCAGATAGAGGGGAAGGGGGGGGGGGGAACCTCGATGTGAAAGGAACACATCGAGTGGCTGCCACCCGCATGACCCAACTAGGGCCGGGGACAAACTGCAACCAAGGTACGTGCCCCTAGTGGTAACCGAACCCGGGTCTCTCTGGACCACAGGCCAACGCTCTAACCGCTGAGCCAAACTGTCCAGAGCTAAAAATGAATTTTATAAATGGGTCTTCACACTCTTAAAATCAGGCACACTCAATACAACAGTATTTCCTACCCCATCCCACAATGAAAGGAGAAAAAATATTGTAAATAGAAGAGGCCAACATGGATTCCCAACAAGAACACACAATCACAGATTTGAGGAAAATAATTTGACAGGGGCCATAAATTCAACAAATAGAACAAAATTCAAAGAAAACAGAGTTAAAAGGGCCTATAGAAGGCTGTAAATGTGTGAAATATACATTGGAAAACTTAGGAAATAAAATATGACCATCAAAAAAGTTCAGTAGCCCGGCCGGTTTGGCTCAGTGGATTGAGCATCGTCCCCTGGACTAAGAGGTGCTGGTTCGATTCTTGTCAGGGCACATGTCTGGGTTGTGGGTTCAATCCCCGGTGGGGGGTGTGCAGGAGGCCCCAATCAATATTTTTCTCTCACATCGATGTTTCTATCTCACTCTCTAAAAAATCAATAAAAACATATCTTAAAAAAATGTTCAACAGAAACTTTGAAGAGAAAAAGGGACATAGCTGAAAAGCAAATTAGTGAACCAATGTAGTGAACCCACCCAAAGAATGTAGAACAAAAGGTCAGAGAGATAGAATGTATTAGAAAGAGGTAAGAAGGATAAATCCCAAATTCTGCTAGCTATCTGACAGGAAGTCTAAAAACTGAACAGAAAAAAACAAAAAAACAAAAAACAAAACAAAGAAATAATAGAAGGACATTTCCAGAGGTAAATTAAGAAAACCTACAGATTTAAAATGCCAGTGAATGCAACTGTCATCATCATTACCATTATCATCAAGATTCACAACTGAAATACTGTAGTTGAAATTTCAAACCACTAAAAGTGAAGACAAAATCCTAAAAAGTTTCTAGAGAGAAAAATATTCTCCCCCTCCCCTTGAAATATGGGTGGGTTTAGTAAACAAAACCGCAGAAGTGATGCTGTCTGACTTCTGAAGCTAGGAAGAGTACCAGAGCTGTCAAGCTGCCCTGAAGCTGCCACTCTGGAAAGACCACAGAGACAGAGTAGCCCGAGGAGCCCAGCTGTTGAATCCTCCCAGAACTGTGAATAAAGAAGCTTCAAGACGATTCCAGACAGCCACCATCTAACTACAACACCCTGGAGACCTTAGGCCAGATCCACCCAGCTGAGCCACTCCCTAATTCCACAGTCAAGAAACTCTCAGTGATAATACATGGTTATTGTTTTAAACCATTACATTTTGGATGGTTTAATAACTAAAAACAGAGGGAAAAAAGGAAAAATAAAGGAACAAAGAACAGATAGACAACTAGAAAATAAATAGAAAGATGTCAGACTATTCAAATATATCAGTAATTACATTAATAAATATTCAAATGGAAAAAATTAAAATTAAAACACAAGGCAAAATATATATAAAACGAAGTTGACAGAACTAAAGGGAAAAATAGGCCAATACACAATCATGACTAGATTTTAACATTTAACTCAATAGACAGATATAGAACACCACACCCAACAACTGAAAATTATACATTTTTTTCAAGTGCACATGGATCATTTACTAGAACAGACTGTGCTGGGCCACAAATCAGGTCTCAACAAATTTCAAAGGACTGAAATCATACAGAGTGTATATTTTAACCATCATGCAATTAAACTAGGAATCAATACAATAATTTCACTACATAATCTCAAATGTTTATAAATTAAACAAGTTATAAATAATATAAACAGTAAGAATTAAATAATAAATACATATCAAAAATTACTGGAGTTGGTAATCCAAAAGAAAAGGGGAAATGATTAAAGAAATAGAAATGCGTTTGGAAGGAGTCAGAAAATAAAGGTATATCAAAGTTCTTCTCTTGCTTGGAAAAAGGATAAAGGACAGTGAATTCCTATATATACACATTGAAAAAATATAAATCTAAATGTGAAAAATGTAATGTCAACAACTGGCTTATATATAACCTAAAAATCACTACAGAAAAAATTGGCAAAGAAAACAACCAATTCAACTAGAGTTAGAAAATAAAAAACAACAATAAAGAAAGGTAAACAAAAGTAATGAGAATAAGACAAAATAGATCAGTAGTCTCCATACAGTACAAAGAAATCTTCTAAATCCTAATTTTGTAAACCACAAGTGATAAAAGCATAAAATCTAGAACATAAGCTTAATTTACATGTAGCAAATCTTATAACATTGTATAAATAGCTTGTTTTGTCTTTTCTTGTTTTAAATACCTATATTCCTGAACTACAGTGTTTCTTTTGTTGTAATTCATTCTAAAAACCTCTCTAGATATGGACATTGTAGACCATCTAGCCCTTTCAACTCTACCCTTACAAAACAGTCCATTCCATTTCTGGGTACCCTAATAGGATAAAGAGAATTTCTCTTCCAGTTTATACTCCTTCAAATATTTGAAGACAATTATCCTTCCTCCCCCCATATCCTCTTTTTCAATAAGCAGTTCTATTTCCTTTTCCAAATGATAAAGTTTCAAATTCTGTGATCATTCTGATCTCTGCAAAAGCTTTAGTTTTTACTCTCATAAAATAAATGTAATATATGCTAATTAGCACGACTGGCAGGCACTACCAAAAAACTTGTAACAAAAAACAACACTCACTATTATCCCCTTAAACCTACCACAACTACTTCAAACTTTGAGCTATTTCTTTTTTCTTTTCTTTTTTTATGTTTCATTGGTATTTTAGAGAGACAGATAGAAACATCGATGTGACAGTGAAACATCAATCGGCTGCCTCCTGCTGCCCCTCACCGGGAATCAAGCCCAAAACCCAGGCACGTGCCCTGACCGGGAATCAAACCTGGACCTCTCAGTCCAGGGGAGGAAGCTCAATCTACTGAGCCACACCGGCCAGGCCTAGCTATTTCTTTGAATGTTTTCCTCTACATTTCTAAATAAGACATTTATACTATCTCTAGGTTTTTAGTTTTAGAAATTGCCATTAGGGCAGATGAGAATTTTAGCTCTCTTAAATAACACAAAGTAAAGTAGTATAAGATTACAATTCCTTTTTTTGTATAACTTGTGTTTATTCTGGAATTGTCTACCAACATAATAATTTTCCACTCAACCTTGCCAGATAATCTATCAATTTTGTTCTCTTTCTACCCGCCCCAAAAACCCAAAAACCCTTCCTTCCTTCCTTCCTTCCTTCCTTCCTTCCTTCCTTCCTTCCTTCCTTCCTTCCTTCCTCCCTCCCTCCCCCCCTTTCTCTCTCTCTCTTTCTTTTCTTTTCTTTCTTCTTTCTTTCCTTTCTTTCTTTCTTCCTTTCTTTCCTCTTTCTTTCTCTCTTTCTTTCTCTCTCTCTCTCTCTCTCTCTCTTTCTTTCTTTCTTTCTTTCTTTCTTTCTTTCTTTCTTTCTTTCTTTCTTTCTTTCTGTTACAGATGTTTCTCCTTTTTTTCCCATTAACACCCTCCTCTACATCCCCCCCGCCATGCCCAGCTTTGTTGTCCAGTCCATCGGTTATGCATACATGCATATAAATTCTGTGGTTTATGCCCCCCCCCTCTTCTGAGGATTGTCAGTCTGTACCTTACTTCCACGTCTCTGGGTCTACCCTGTTCCTCAGACTGTTATGTTTATTATATTCCACAAATAAGTGAGATCATGTGATATTTGTCTTTCTCTGCTTGGCCTTTTTTGCTTAGGATAATACTCTCCAGGTTTCTCCAGGTCGTCTCAAAGGATAAGAGATCTTTCTTTCTTACAGCTGCAGAGTACTCCATTGTGTGTATGTACAACTTTTTTATCCATTTGCACCTAGGACTTCTTAGGTACTGGTTTAGTCAGTGTTCTTCAAAGTGCCTATCTACAAAATGCTGCCACTACTATTTGTTGCTGCTCCTCCAGAAAATAAGAAACTTGCCCCTGTTAATCAACGTCTTCTCCAAGTGCACTGTTTAATTCAGTTGAACAGTGGGAATATTTACTACAGGGATGGTGATGATATATATATTTTAAAGATAAAGAAAGAAAACACTATATTATAGATCACTTTTTGGTACCAGCATCAAAAACTTATTAGTAATACTAAACACTTTTAAAAGCAAAGGTTTCCACAATTTCTTAGGACCTTGCATTTCATTACTAAATAACATTTCCCCACTTCTTTATATAAGAAGAAACATAAATTCTACTGTTTTAAAAGATATTTATACATCAATTATCCCCAAATAAATATTTACCAAAATCTTCAAAATTCTCCAAAAATTCAAGTAAAGGATTAAAATATTTAATTTGGAAAAAACCTTACTTATTCAGGAGTCAAGTTTTTGGCAAGTATGACAAGTGGTCTTGAAAGGCTTAATATGCTATTACAACACATGCAATAATCTACCGTCTAAAATTATTCCTTAAACAAAAATGTGTTGCTGAATATAGTTCTCTATTACAATAATCTCTGTAGCATCTGTAGTTATAGCTCCTTTTACATTCTTATTGTTTATTTATGCCCTCCCCCTTTCTTTTGATCAATCTTACTAGGTTTGTTAATTTTATTTCATTTTAATCAACTTTGGCTTTATAGATACTTCACTGTAGGCTTGTTTTTTATTATTTTAATTTCTGCCTTTAGGTCTATTTTTCCTTCCCTTTTCTAATTTAGATTAAATGCTTGGCTATTTTAATTTTCAGCCTTTCTTATCTTCTAATTGCTATCTTAGACATTCCACCTGGGATCTTTCCTTCCATCTACAGTGCATCTTTTAAAATTTGTCTTAGTGATGTTCTATTGGTGTTAAAAACCTTTCAGTTTTATTTATCTGACAACTTCGTGTTGCCTACACTCTTTTAAGATATTTTAGTTTTAATAGTTATTTACTCTCAGCACACCAGTTATTCTTTTGCCTTTCAGTTTTAATTTTTCCTTTCAATAAGTCAGCCTAATTGTAGATCTTTTGAAGGTAATCTGTATTTTCCCTCTAGCTACTTTTAAGATCTCTGATTATGTGCAAATGTAACTATTAACTGTTTGGGTTTTGATTTTTATCTAGTCTGTTTAGGATTTATTTGACTTCTTTAATTTGTGATTTTGCAATTAAAAATTCTCAACCATAATCTCCTCAAATATTATCTCTACTTGATTTTTCTTCACATCTGGATTCTGCTTAGATAACTGTTAGTTCTTCTCATGCTCTTTTATTAGTTAGGACATAGACTAGTCTGCTGTAATAAGAGACCCTACTGTGGCTTAAACAAAATTCAGGTATTTTTTTTTCCCCTTTCATAGTTGGAAGGGGCAGTAAGAGCTGGCTTAGCAGTTTAACAATCTCACAGAACTAAACTCCTACACCTCGTTGCTCTGTCATCCTAGAGTACTGCCCTCTTCCACATGGCTAAAAGTAGTTCCACCATGTCCACATTCCAGTCCAGGAAAAGGAAGGAAGAGGAAGAAAGGGGTACCCCATTTCCTCTTACAGGCATAATCTATAAGGCTATGCACGCATACCTTTCACTTGCATCCAAACTGCCAATCCTTGTCATAGAGTCAAACCTTACTACCACAGAGGCCGTGAAATGGAAGCTGTAGCTGGTCAGCAAAGCAGCCAAAAAATACCTCCATTACCTAGGAGAATGAATCAAGGAAAATCAACAATTTCTGTCACAATTTTCCAGTTTTCTTATTTTCTCTTACATATTTCCTATTCCTGTCTCTTTATGCTGATTAACTTATTTTTCAGATCATCTTCCTGTATACTAAAATTCTCTAGTCTCATCTATTATTAAATCTATCTATTGAGTTTAAAAATTTTTATATTTTTCATTTCTAGATGCTCTCCTCCCTCCCCCCAATAGTCTCATTCTCTTTCTCATAAGTAGTATAATGAAATATTTAGAAGCCTGTCTGGCTAGAATCCTGCTCTACCACTTAATAACCTGACTACAACTTTTCCTCCTAAATGTTGAGTGCTAGGAATGTATCTAATTAAGAGAAGGGAGAATATCACAGTATCCAAATATATCCCATACTCTGTGCCTTTAGGTAGGACATGAGCTCTTGGATCCATGAGCTGTCAAAAAGAGTAAATGCCTATTCTAGTTGAGCAACACAGTACATCACCAGAAAGTGCATCATAGTTGGGAACCCTCTTTATATGTACTACCATGTACTCAGTAAAATGAATATTCTTTAGCAACTATTATCATTTGTAAACCATGAAGAAAATTTTATAGGCAGTAAATTAATATAGTACTTTCTAGGTTGACAATAATTTTTCCTCAAAAGATAAGGTTTACTAAATTAGGTTTAATTTATGCTAGGTATAGCTAAGTGTATCAATTATAGACTCTTGACAGATAACACTTCCATAGAGGTATTTACTCCAACATTATTCTCTTAAAGAAATTGCCTCACAAATTAGATAATCATAATTTTAAAAATTTAAGATTAACACAAAACCAAGCCACAGCTAAAGCATGAATTTAGAATAATTTCTAAAACAAAATGGCATAACTGTCACTAAATTTCTGAAATCTTTCTTCTTTAAAGACTACTTTACTTCTTAAAACCACCCGAAATGCTGTGACCTTTCCTGGAAGGGAAAATAAAATGTGATCAATAATAGCAACTAAATTTTACATAGCATTTTTTTAACTTACATAGTTCATTCCCTTTATACTTTTTAGTTCACCAAAATCAAAACTGTATAGCATTATCCCCATTACAAAGATGAGAGAAGCATACAAAGTTTAACTTGGATTAAATAACTTAGGTGAAAAGTAACTAGGAGGCTATATTGTCTTCTGATTTTATTTTTATTTTTATTTTTTTCAATCCTCACCCGAGGACATTTTTTGATATTTTGTTCAGATAGAGTGGGAGGGAGAGAGAGAGAGAGAAACATCGACGTGAAAGGGACACATCGAGTAGTTGCCACCCGCACAACCCAACCAGGGCCGGGGACAAACTGCAACTGAGGTATGTGCCCTTAGCGGGAACCGAACCCGGGACTCTCTGGACCGCAGGCCAACGCTCTAACCGCTGAGCCAAACCAGCCAGGGCTTGTCTTCTGATTTTAAATGGCATTCTCTTTTCAATGTATTATGCTTTGCTATACAATAATAATAATAACAGCACACATTTACTGAGAGCTTACCATGTTCCAGGCACTGTTATAAGAAATCCTTACAAAAAGCTAATAATTTGCTCAAGTCACACATCTAGTAAGAAAAGCCACGATTCAAACTCAGAGTTCACACTCTTTAACCAACATGCTAACTTGCCCCTACTCATGTAGGTACACAGGAATCTGTATATGCATGGAATACCTTTGGAAGGAAACTGAGTAATGAGGAAATGTGGAAATAGGAGAGATTTCTCACTGTATGCCTTGGATGAATTTCCTGAAGGTCAGCAGAGGGAGATGATAACAGACATGAAATTCCATAAAAAGGGTACAAACTCAAGAGAATGAAGAGTCAAATAAAAGATTATTTAAAAAAGTCTAGGTAGCTTGAGCATTTACAATGAAAGGTAGGGGAAAGAAATGAGTACGCTAGCAAGCTGCCAAAGTCCCTGCATGATAGATAATCCTAAGAACTTGAAATGTTTTGATCAGAGGGAAAAAGCCACCTAAGGTTTTGGAGTAGAGAATTTGAGGGGAAAAAAGAACTATAAGAATTGTACAGGTTAGAACAAAGGAATGAGAACTGGAGTATGGAGACCAGTTAGGAGAGCAAGGAATGATGATGGGATTTGAAATAGAAAGAGGGTTAATCTTCAAGTAAGGGACATAGTTAAGCAATACTGTTATGAACATCAATGAGACAATGCATATAAATGCTTAACTATTTTAAGTACAGTGTTACTGGTATTTTGAGAATTGTGGAGAGGTAATGTAAGACAAGAATGGAGAGCACTGTCAGAACAGGAAGCTCAAATCTGAAGCCAGCATAAAAACATTTACTGATTCTGAAACTATTGAATTGAAGGGTCCCCAGCTGCTTTTTTTTATATTGATTTTAGAGGTAAAAACATCAATGTAAAATAGAAACATCGACTGGTTGCCTCCAGCATGCACACCAACCGGGGATCAAACCTACCACCATTTGGTGTACAGGGCATTGCTCCAACCAACTGAGTCAGCCATACTGGCCGGGGTGGGGCCCCAGTTCTTTTTTTTTTTTTTTTAATCCTCACCCGAGGACATTTTTTCCATTTTTTGTTCAGGTAGAGTGGGAGGGAGAGAGGAAGAGAGAGAAAGAGAGAAACATCAACGTGAAAGGGACACATCGAGTGGCTGCCACCCGCACTACCAACCAGGGCCGTGAACAAACTGCAACCGAGGTACGTGCCCTTAGCGGGAACCGAACCCGGGTCTCTCTGGACCGCAGGCCGACGCCCCAGTTCTTGAAAACCATAAACACATAGACAGAAGTAGAGACCTGGGAACCCAAATTAACAACCCTTCATTGAAAGAAAGATCTTTCTGCTGGCATATCTGGATCCAAAACCAAGCTCTGTAAGGGTCTGGTGGGAAGAATTATGCATACTCTGCTATAAAGAATTTGTACTGCCCTGGACCGTTTTGCTCAGTGGTTAGAGCGTTGGCCTGTGGTTCAGAGAAACCCAGGTTCGGTTCCCTCTAAGGGCATGTACCTCGGTTGCAGTTTGTCCCCGGCCCTGGTTGGGTCATGTGGGTGGCAGCCACTCAATGTGTCCCTTTCAAGTCGATGTTTCTCTCTCTCTCTCTCTCTCTCTCTCTCTCTTCCCCTCTCTCCCCCTCCCACTCTATCTGAACAAAAAAAAAAATGGAAAGGTGTCCTCGGGTGAGGATTTAAAAAGAAAAAAGAAGAATTTATACTACCTGTGACGAGGGAAAGTGTTATATGAATGTGGATTTGGATTAGTTGTAAATGTATATTTCAAACTCAAGGGAAATCACACACACAAAAAGAAGTATAATTGACATGATAAGAGAGGAGAAAAAGTGTTCATATAAAATGCTTAATTAAAACAAGAAGGCATCAGAAATAGCATAGTTGACCTAAAAAAGCAAAGAAACAAAAAACTAAGGCAATGAATAGAAAACAGTAACAACTATGGCAGGTATTAATCCAATTGTACCCAAAATTTCTTTAAACATCAATGGTCTAAATACACCAATTAAAAGAAACTGTCAGAGCAGATCAAAAAGCAAGATCCAACTATATGCTGTCTACAAGAAACCCACTTTTAAATATAAAGACACAGATAGATTAAAAGTAAATGGATGGAACAAGACATACAATGTGAACTCTATCAAAAGAAAGCTGAATAGCTATATTAATTTCAGAGAAAGCATACTTCTGAGCAATAAAAATTATCAGGGATAAAGAGGGGCATTATATAATTATAAAAGAGTCAATTCTTTAAGAAGTCTCCAGTCCTTAATGTGTATATGCCTAACCACAGAGTGCCAAATACATGAGGTAAAATCTGATAGAACAACCAGGAGAAATAGATGAATCCACTACTATTACTGGAGACTTCAGTACCTCTTTATTAGTGATTGACAGATCCAGCAGGCAAAAAATCAATTAAGGGCAAAGTTCAATTGAACAATACCATCAATCAATTGGATCTAATTGATATTTATAGAATACTTGACCCAACAACAACAAAATACATGTTATTTTTCAAATGCACATGGAACATTTAATAAGATAGACCATATCTAGACTATAAAATAAACCTCAATAAATTTAAAGGAATTCAAATCATACAAAGTATGTTTCCTGATCACATGGAATTAACTTAGAAATCAACAACAGAAAGACATGAAGAAAATTTCCAAATGTCTGGAAACTAAATAATCGATGATTCAAAGAAGATATCAAAAGGGAAATTAGTATTTTGAAAAGAATAAAAATAAAAATACAACATATAAAAATTTGTAGAATAGCCCAGCCAGTGTGGCTCAGTGGATTGAGCATCATCCCATGGAGAAAAATCCCGGTTCAATTCCCAATCAGGGCACATGCCTGTGTTGCAGGCTTGATCCCCAGAGGGGGGTGCGTGGGAGACAGCCGATCAATGTTTTTCTCTCACATAGATACTTCTATCTCTTTCTCTTAAAAAAATCAATAAAAACATATTTTTTTAAAAAGAAAAAGAGTCCTGGCTGGTTTGGCTCAGTGGCTATTAGAGCGTCGGCCTGCGGTCCAGAGAGACCCAGGTTTGGTTCCCGCTAAGGGTGCATACCTCGGTTGCAGTTTGTCCCCGGCCCTGGTTGGGTCGTGCGGGTGGCAGCCACTCAATGTGTCCCTTTCACATCAATGTTTCTCTCTCTCTCTCTCTTCCTCCCACTCCCACTCTATCTGAATAAAAACTGGAAAAATGTCCTTGAGTGAGGATAAAATAAAAAGAAAAAGAAAAATTTGTAGAACAGAGAGCCCAGAAATTAACCTTTATATAAATGGTCAAATGATTTGACAGCGTGCTAATACTATTCAGTGAAGAAATGACAGTCTTTTCAACAAATGGCATTGGGAAAACAGGATAATCACATGCAAAAGAATTGAGTTGGACTCTTGCTTTACACTGTACAAAAAAATTAATTAAAAATGGATCAAAGACCTAAACAT